GTGTACGACCCAGATCATTCATGTTTGACACAAGGCCAGCTCGAGCAATACCTGGAGTCTGTAACTGTAATTGTTCCTATGATGGCCAGACGAGCGGGGATGACTGTACAGGACAGACTGTGGATCGTTCGGAACAAGACGACAGCGCGACAGTCCATAAGGTAAGTGTTTGAACTTTGTTGTCTTCATCTTTCAAATTTAGTTTTTAACTACACAGTACTGAATTGATCCATTTTTGTTTAATTGTAACGGTGATTGCAGTATATTTTCCATTAAGTACGTTGAATTTTTAAGTATATGACATAATGTTGATGGAATCAACCAATCGTGGATACAGAACTGGAGAAAAAATTTAGCTTGTGATTTGTTCGAATTTAATGGTGACCCGTAAATTTGTGTGAAATATATGTAACATTCGAATTGTAAATTTAATTATTTTTTGTGATTATGAAATAATTGTAAATTTGTGTTCAATATATATAACATTCAAATTGGAATTTTGTAAGTTAATTTTTTGTTATTTTTACACATATGTCGAGCATGAAACTATTTTTTTCATATAAATCATTATAAATAACATTTATCAAGAATAAATATTGAACATTGAATATTTATGAAGAACAAATATTGAACAGTGTAAAGTAAACGGAAATATTATTCATTTAACATACCTGTCTAATTGTCATTTAGGGGAATTTGACTACTACAAAATTGTCGAGTATGCCCTATGGCTCTGCACCTGTCATACCTACGCGGTCGAGGAAACTCTCTGGTAGATGGTATTCTAGTTGTATTTGGATGTCCAGGATCACGTGGTTCAACGGCTGGTGGGAACAAAGTATCAAACAGGAGAAAGTGCTCGGGAACTTCCCACTCAGCTTCATTCGACAGAGAAAATATAGTCTTAGCATATGCTGTTCTCCAAAACTTAGTTGTATAATACAAAGAGCATAACGTTCTCGCTGCAAAGCCTCGATACATGGCCACCGCAACTGCATGGTCACATGAAAAACTCTCTTATTGAAATCTTGTACAAGTGTATGTGTTATCAGTCAAGTCCACCATATATGCCATATTACGTGCACATTGCATGGAGAAGCGAAACACATCTAGTATTTCCACATTCAATTTCCTCGCAACCTCTGCCGCCTTAAAGAGTTTCTCCTCTTGAGTTGGGGCCAATATGCTAGTGCAACTCAGTGATGTCGCACATCGGTCATGAAACCACTGTTGCAGTTTGTTACGAATGTTCTCAATCATTGTGAGAATTGGTAACTCTCGATCCTTTTTAAACAATGCATTGAGAAATTTCGCGTTATTCGACGTTATCATGTTATATCGATGTCCTGAAAAGTATGACTTCACCCAATGTCCGATGCCCATGTTCGTTAGATACTCCAACATCGGTAATGATTTACTTACTATCTCGAACATGAACTTATTACACTCATCAGCACTGTAAGCTTCGGCTGCTCTCCTGAACAATGAAACGATGTCTTTGCCCCATACCCAGTCTTCAAATTACCTTGTCTATGGTACATGCAATACCTATGATGTGCCTCGGGAAAAACTTCAGTGATACCGTTTATTATAGACAGTCCCCAATCGGTTACAAAAGCAAGGTCTTTGACTTTTTCGATCACTTCCCTCAGTTTAGAAAAGAACCAACGCATGGACAGATCATTCTCGTTGTCGACTATGCCGAATGTAATAGGGTAAATTTGGATGTTGGCATCTTGACATGTAGCAATAATTAATTTGTCTTGATATTTAGCTTTCAGAGTTGTATCATCAACTAGAATTATAGGTCGCATTACATTTCGAAAACCCTGAATATATTGTCCGAGAGTCATGAAGAAATACTTAAAACAATTATCGCCCCCCGTCTCAATAAAAAATATCGTGCCAGGATTAGTTGTCCCCATGTTATGGCAATACTTGGTCAATTTAGCATAGTTCTCCTCAATTGATCTCATTAAATCCTCCAACGCACATTCTTTGGCCTTCCAGACTTTCTGGTAGCTCATGAACACTCCATACTCTTGACGGATGTCGTTAATAATGTCTGAATATCTGTAGATCGTCCGTGGATCCTGATACTTGTGCATTATATGTCGACCAATAAACCATGCTCGAGCTTGTATGTGATCGTTTCGAAGAATTCCCACTTCGTAAGTATATTTCCATGAATACTTGCGAATTACGAAGTACTCATTCGTGTCCATTTTAGTTGCTCTCAAGCACCAATTGCAACTGTCGTCGACGCAGGCAACTGTCACAATGACTTGTTTGATTTCTTTATCTTGAACTCAAAGTTATATTTTAATGTCAGCCGGTGCACAGCTTCCTACAAATTTTTCTTGGTTTCAAACAGTTGCTCGACAAACAAGTCCTCATCATCGGGAACCATACAGGAAGAATTGGAGGACGGTCCACTTGTTCCAAACTCTAAGCTCCCACCCGACTCATGTGTTTGTGGAGATAAAGCAATCAAATTCTCATTTGTAAAATCATTTATACTCTCATTGTTTTCAACTGTCGATGGAATTCTGTGTGTAACAATGACATCATGATCAGGAGCAACTGTCTCAGGAATAACCACATCATCCGCTGGAACTATCTCCACTATCTCCCAAAAACTTTGGTCATTATTATCCGTCCTATCTGAATCTTTGCGTTCACCTTCAACAACATCATTCTTAACTAAAGTCACACCAAGAATAGTCGAAGTCCGATGCATTTTATTCAATTCTAATGGATAATTCAATTCAACATCATTAGTAATGAATATCAGTAGAATCGGAATGGATGAATCCCCATAATCGTTGAATAGATATCTCAATTGCATATCGTATTAAGATTGATCGACATTCAACTTATTTTGCAAATCGTGGTACACTTCTAAGTATGATATACTCTCTGTTATGGGAATTGCAATACAACAACATATGACACTCGTCCATCTCCATTCTCACCGACTATTTTCATTCAATTCGAAATCACCGAAATAACATATGGAGTTTATCATATCTGCATGAGAAAATAAAACTTTTTTAATAACTTACAACAAAAAAATTCATATGTTTATTTATTTAATCAATTTCATTTATTAATTATAAGAAAAAAATCAGTGCCAACAAAATTTAATAAATTAATTAATTAACAGTTTTAACAATCGATTTTTGTAGAAATAGAAGCACAAAAATCGACCGTTTGATTATTTAGCAGCCGACTATGGGTTGTAACAATCAGCTGTTACAGCCAACAGCCAGCTGTTAAACAGTCGACTGTTTGGCTGTTTTTGCGTATGAATTTTTTTCTACGGTTCTAAAGAAAAAAAATTATGGATCCGTTCAATTTTTTTTATAGGTAAGATCTGTTAAAAAAAATTTATACTAACTATTATTATGTCGAAATAAAATTTCTATATTCAAACGTATACTAATTTATTGAAAACGAAATTAAATATGGGTAAATATACTTACCGATTTGAAGTAATTGATATGAAAAAAAATTCCGGATTCAGCGTTTGAAAGTTTTTTGAGATTTTGAGGTTCAAGCAGATGAAAAATGAGAGTTTTTTCTGTGTTGGAAGCTCGTTTTGAAGTTTTATAGGTTGGGAAGTGTTTGGTTTTCAATTATTAACTAAAAGGGTGGCAAAATCCTTTCAACAATATATTGTTTTGTAATTGTATAATACATTTAAGGGCATCTTTATCTTTTACCATACAAGAGGCAAATGTGATAATATTCAATATTTTCAAAGTCAAAGTAGAATTTTAAACCTTTGACTGGATCAAATTTAAAAGTACCACAGTATCTATTGAGATAATAAGTCAAGGAAGCAAAGATAATAATATTCCAGCGAAGATAGTCGTTATTTGTGTCACATCTTCGAATTCGAGAGAAGGCTCTCCTGTCTTCTAAATGAGTTACTCTACCTTGGGAATCAGTTTATGCACTATAATCTCTATGAAGTGACAGGTTTTCCATTCAATTTGGGTAAAGGCTCTTGCTTGCTTAAAACCACCACTTTACTTTTGTGAGCAAAATGCCCCTTCATCAGATTCTTGTATATTAAATCGAAACATGGTTCAACTATTTGCCATTCCTGTTTAACTGTTCAACTATTTTGCCAACCCAATCTTCAGTTGAAAGGCCATGATTTCTTCTCTAAGGGAACTCACCAAATCACCATTAGGCCTGGGCATGGTTTGGTTTGGGTTGGTTTTGACCTAAACCCAAAACCAAACCAAAGTAGTCGGTTTGAGTGAAATTAAAACCAAAACCAACCCACTCTAATTCTTAAACCGAACCAACCCAAACCACTTCGGTTCGGTTTGGTTTGGGTTTTTGTTTTGAACTTTTAAATAACATTGCATTGTAACTTATAAAGAACAAGCAAACATTGATGTTACTCTTACACATTGTTCTCTCTCTTTTCTTTTTCTTTTTTTTCCTCCTTTTTTCTTTCTTTTTCCTTTCTTTTTTTCCTTGTTCCCCCATTTTTGAGTTTGATTTACAAACGTGAGTGTTTCTTTTGCTTGGCGCATGATCTTTGGATACTTTCTGTAATGAATTAACAATTGCCAAACTTAATGACTAGTTTCACTTGTTTATATCTGTGGGCGAGTGCTAATTGATTATCTGGATTATGTAGTTTCACATTATAGTTTGTCTCCTTCAAAAGTATTTGTTTCATATCCTAGAATATCTTTCCTAGCATTTGTTTGGTCAAGAAGCAACATTTGATTCCATTTATAATATCCTTTTAGTTTGTGATTTTTGTCATATATTTTTAACTGAAGAGATCACTTTCTTCCAACTTGTGGAGGAAGCAAATTTTCCTTCAAGTTTGTTTTGTTAATCTACAATGGGGGATGAGGAAAACAATTTTCAACCTTAAAAAAAGAGGGCTGTCGGAGTGCAACTATCTTGAGATAATCCTGATCTTGATGATGATGAAACCTTTGAATCAGAAACAAAAAGTTTCAAAAAAGCTAGTGACGAGGTTCTGGAAAGTAGAAGAATAGCGAAAGTTCGTCGTCATCAAGCATCAACTTCCGATGCCCTATCTTTTGACTTTTCTTCCTGAAAAGGAAAACGAAAGCAAGAAAAAATATATTGCTTAAGAGTCTGATTATGAGTTAGTTTCCATGAAATAATTATAAGTCCTATATCCATTTTGTTGCATGATTCTTAATCATCATGCTGCATGATTCTGGAGATATGAATGATTGAATCGTAAATATAGTCTACAGTTGCTAATAAAACCTTAGTTTTACTACTATTGAAATTGATAGTTAATGTGGAATTTTATTGGATTTGGATTGGATTGGTTATCATGTTTATTTTGATTCCTACAGTCATACTCTGTTTGTGAGTTACCCTTCTTCTTCTTCTTCTTCTTCTTTCAAAAAAGAAAAAAAATGGTTTAAATTTGTAGCGGGTTGAGCGGTTAACCATCGGTTTTGGTATTCAAACCATGAACCAAACCAAACCAACATGGTTTTTGTCTACAAAAAACCAAACCAAACCATTTGACTACTCTAAACCGAACCAAACCAAACCGAATCGGTTCGGTTTGGCGGTTTAGGTGGTTTGACGATTTTTTTGCCCAGACCTAATCACCATATTGCACTACTTTTTAGTGTAAAGTTGCTCCAATGCAACACTCTATTTAACTCCATTTTCGTGCTAAGTGTATAAAGTCTCTTTTGCCCTTTTTTATTATTTCCCATATAAATTTGTTAAAGGTATTTGTGTCAGTTGTGCTATATATTTTTTAATACAGTAAATTATTGTTATTATTTGCACTTAAAATAAATTTTAAATGTAAGAAATATTAATTAATAAATTGATTGAAAGAAGAAAAACTTTTGGGGCAAGAACATATGAATTTCGAGAATTAAATTGCAAAAATTTTGCGACTTCGTAATATCGTCTGTCCAAATTCGAATTGCATTGTACTATTTTCTAATGGCATGATTTAATATTTTTGTCATTGTAGTGTTTTTATTAATTTACTGTGTTTTTTATATTTATTAATGAATTTAATCTTTTTCGTAATTTAATGTAATTATTTATTTAGTAATTTATGTATTTATAAAATAATTAAATAAATAATATTTCAAATAAATAAATAAATAAAGAGAAGAAAATGGTTAAACACTATTCATTTGGTATAATTTTTGGTGTAATGGTTGGATATAAATTTTAGTTTGGTGCAAGATTTGGTGTAAAATTAGGTGCAGCGCTGGAGATAGCCTAAACTTTAGCATGTCTCAGTTTTGTGGGGATTTAGAAGTGACTCTTCTACAAAGATATACCTCTATATACACGATATTGAATATTATTGAATGATATAGTAGACAAAATTTTATTATATATTTTGCTTCCTAATATTGCTAAGTGCTATTAATTTACTTTTAGGAAAAGGTTTGGTAGGAAAATACTGTATCTCACAATTGCATATTTTCTCAATCGTCGCGATGCCCGACATTGGTAAAGACAACACTGGCCAAATAGAAATCGGAGATTCTATAGTGGTGCATGAGTTCATGTTACACATTCCAATAGTAGAAGAGAAGTTTTTCTTCAAATTTAGGGAAAGTTTTCCCAGCCCGCTATTGAGATGAATAGTAAGATAATTTGGTTATCCAACTTAAACATTTTTTTTTTGGAGGAAGTTATTTTATCGATAGAAAATGGTTGCTAACTTTGCTAGTCCAGATTTGTCCATCAAATGTTTCTCATATATAGACAGATTTATAGAAATGAGTTTTAATTTCTCAGAGCCATTTGCTTCTGTTCGGAAGAAATTGTTTTGCTGTCTTATCATGTTTCGTCAATCGTTAAGGGGGTGTTCTCTTTGTGTTTCAGTTTTGTGTTTTGAGTTTAAATTCATTTTGAGTTTTGTGTTTTGAGTGTTTGTTTTGAAATTGTTGAAAATGCGTTCTTTTTATTAGTTTTTAAAAAAAAAATGAAATTTTTTTTTTTTGAAATTTTGAGAATCACCACAAGATCACCTCAAAAAAAAAAAAAATTATATATATATAATAATTTTTAATTTTTTTTTTTGAAATTTTGAGAATCACCATACCCCCTCCGAAAAAAAAAAAAAAAGGTGTTTCCCGCGTTTTCAGTTTTTTCAAGTTTTACACTGAAAACGCCCAAAACGACAAAAAAGTCGTTTTGTGTTTTCTTCACAAATTTTTTTTTCGTTTTCGAAAACGGGAAAGAGAACACGTTTTTACCGTTTTGAAAAATCGAAAACAGAAAACGGCCCGAAAACGGTAAAGAGAACAGGGCCTAAATCTTTTAAAGTGTTCAGATATTTTGAAGTATTTCCTGGTAACTTATGAAAAAAATTAAAAAAATATGAAAGAATCAAATTTTTGGGTTGGTAATATCTACAATTTCTCGTCGATGATCAATGACCGAAATACCATTAATGATTGTAGACATTTGTCGTTGATAACCATTGATTAAGGTGCATAAGATGATCATCAATGGTTCTATGTCAACAATTTTGTTTGAATTACTATCATTTGTTGATTTTCACCATAATCATCGACATTTATATCTTCAAATCCACTAATCTTTTTATTACTAATCTTGAAAATGCTCCCTCAATGATTTTTTATTATTCCTGTCCTAATTTTTTTTTCATTTTTTTACCTATTCTTGATAGTATGACATGCTCTTAGTGAGCCAAAATTATGAAGGATTAGATAAATTCAAAGAAGATAAAAGCGTTACATAACTTCTCTAAATGCTTGTTTGATATAGATTTTTTTTTTTTCGAATGAAAAATGTTTTTTTGGATAATATGATTGAAAAATGAGAAAATTTTGTGGTTTCTTCAAATGTGTGATTAAAAAATAATTAAAAAAACTGTGTCAAACAAAACTTGAATCTCATTATCTCTCAAGAGTCGATAGTCGAAACATTTTAATTTTATTGAGTTACGAGAACTCACTCCAACTTAATTTAGGGCATCCATGGTTTGAGTGGACAGAACATAATGTTGGAGGAACACCATTAGTTTAGAGTAATGTTATTTAGCACACATTTGTGTTTAACAATAGTTTAGGTGACAACATTAGTGACATTAAATTACATATTCAATTAAATACAATGAATTATAACCTATTTAATAAGACTTATGATATATTGACACTTAGATTGATATTTAACACCACAGTACTTAGATTATTTATTAGTTTATGCAGAGCCGGTCCTGTGTTTGACGGGCCCTGAAGCAGCCGATGAAAATTAGGCCCCCCACGATAAAATTCAAAGGTGTATTATGCGACTCATTACTAACTTAAAAAACTAACATTAAAACAACCACAAAATATATCATAGAAACGGTTTATATTATAAACCATCAAACCAAAAATTTCAAACAATTAGTTAAATACTATTCGTCTTGCTATTTTAGAGGCAAAAATATCAATCAAATTTGAATAACTTAACTGCTCAACCATTTCTTTTTCTATTGATAACATAGCCAACCCATTTAATCTTTCTTGTGACATAGTTGATCGGAGATAGGTCTTAATCAACTTCAATTTCGAGAAACTTCTTTCCGTAGATGCAACTGTAACCGGTACAGTTAACAAAATTTTGTAAGCAATATAAGCATTTGGGAAACAAACATCCAATGTCTTCAAATAGTGTAGCACTTCAATTGCTCTTGTTGCTTCATTTGGTAAATAAATCTTCAAAACTTGTAACTCCGAACATAAATCATCTCCATTGATATCCGAAAGCCCATTATGTTCAAGATATTTCTCAAGATTCATACAAGAGTTCAACAAACTTGATAAAGTTGCAATCCTTAATCTCTTCAAAATAAACAAAAATCCAAATATAACGTCATATTGTTTGAATTGTTCAAATCGAGTTCTCAGAGAAGATAGAGTTTGATCAATTATAAAAACAAAGTACTCAACTCTAAATGATTCTTCTACTGTTTGCTTTGCCTCATTACTACAGTTTTCATCAAATTGCTTTTTTCTTCGAATTATGCGTTTTTCTGTAAATACAGCTTCAATTCTCATTTCGTTTGCCTTTTTTATCGATTCATCCATGGCAATGGCAAATCCAATTTCTCTATTATCTTCAAGAAATGAAACAAGTCCTTGCAATAGGTCGATAGCATGATCAATATCCATGGATTTAGTTTGAAGAAATTTACTCACAATATTAACTGCATGCAACAACCTGTACCAGATTACCATGCCAAGCAAGAACTCAAAATTCTGAAGTTCATGTGTTGCCAACGACTCGGCTTCACTCTTTACTTTAGGATCTTCGTTAGTTTATGCCAAATCAAGTAATGCTTCTCTTATCTGTGCAGTTTGCTCCATTATAGGCTTCACACTCTTAACATGACTTTCTCAACGTGTTTGTGCCAACAGCTTCACTGTCAACTCTTTTACATTATCTTTAAAAATTTGCCATCGCTTGGTAGAAGATGAAAACAAAGTGTAGATGCATTGTATCACTCCAAAGAAGGATACAGCTTTGGAACAACAATTCACCATATTACATAACGCTAGATTTAGACTATGAGCCCCACATGGAGAATAGAAAGCTCGGGGATTCATTTCATGTACTCTTCTTTGCACACCTTTGTGCTTCCCACTCATGTTAGATCCGTTATTATACCATTGCCCTCTAATGTCATCAATATCCAGATCGAGTTTGATCAAAGCCTTTTGAAGCTCGGTTGTAAGTCCAAGTCCCGTAGTGTCATCTACCTTAAAAAATTCAAGCCAATATTCTTCAACTGTAGGTAAGTTTGCCGAATCATCTACAAATCGTACTATTAACGACATCTGCTCCTCCTGACTTGCATCTGGAGTACAATCAAGTATAATTGCAAAATATTTTGCATGTTTAACTTTCTTGACAATTGCACTTCTCACCTCATTAGCCAACAACTGTATCAACTCATTTTGGATTTTTTTTTGGCCAAGATACGTGTATTGAATCTCTTTTGCATTAGCCCGCCGAAGGTGCTCTTTCATTATTGGATCAAATTCACTAACCATTTCCACCATTTGTAAAAACAGACCATTGTTCTCAACATTTAGCTTCTCATCATCTCCTCGAAATGGAAATGTGTTTTTGACGAGTCTTTTTACAATAGAGATTATCCTTGTTAAAACATGCCTCCAATGGTCTCTTTCCGCATCGATCAACAATTCAACGCCTTTATCAATTCTAGTTTTTGTTCGAAGCCTATTTTCCAATTCAAACCAACTAGTCATGCAACATATATGCTCTTCATTTCCTTCATGACTTTTAATAGACCGATGCAAATTATGCCAATCTTTGAATCTATCGTTACCAAGTTGGCCAACTCTGATAACATTTTTGGGTGTTTTAAACAACTTGCAACAAAAGAAAAGGATCATGTCCATAGATATTGAATATACTAGCCATTTTCTATCAATTGTTTGCCCATTTCGTAGCAATCGCTTATATTGTGAAGAATCAAAATGCCTATTTGTACAATCTTTCGGAAACAAGATATCATCAACTCTTTTTGGACCCCTTTCAACTAAGTAATCCCTTGTTCTTTGATCAATGATTTTCCATTTCACGGGATCATCCAAATTTAGAGAAAAGCAACCCTCTTCTTCCTTGTCATCTACTTCATTAACACATGCATGTTTCATCACCTCTTTTTCCTTATCATCTACTACATTAACGTAGACAGGTTGACTCACTTCTTCATCTTTATCATCTACTTCATTAACACATGCAGGTTGAATCTCTACTTCATCCTCATTCAACGTATTCACATTGTTGCTTTTAAAGTACTTGTCAATATCCCCAACTTGACTTTGAATTAATGAAATTTCATTTCGTTTCCTTTTTCTCTTTTGAGCACCAGACTCAGAATTAGGAGGCATGGTGTATGAGTCTATATCTGATGCCCAATGAGTAACCTAAAAAATAATTACAAAATATCTCAAATCATCACACAGTTAGAGTTTTCAATATAGTTATTATGTGCGCCTGTGCAATTGTTGATCCTCTAATAATCAATCATATAAGCCGACCAGGCCACAATTATATAAGCCGAAAAGGCTTCAAACATTTTCAATTTCTTCAATAACAAGTTAAGGCAAGCCATTGCTTATCTGACAAGTAGAATTTCAACGAAAACTGTGGAGTTACACCTTCAAGAATTTCACTGTCACAAGACTCACAACTCCCGACCCTGAAACAAAAATTTCACATCAAACGCTATTACAAATATTAACATGATCATCAAATTGAATATATTAGCACTAAAAGCAAAAATGCATAGGAAATTTTAGTATGTTACCTCCCAAATAAATGTGGCTTCCAAGGAAAATTTGTGATAGCAACGTCGAGAAAACAGGTTGAAACAGCTGGCAGCATATACAAGGAAACCAAGGCAGGGACTAGAATCTTATTTGACTAAGTAATAGCACAGAGCAGATGCTACAACTCACTGTAAAAGGGGGAAAAATTTTAAAAATATATAAAAATAAACAGCAGACTCTTAAGCAATTCACTTAATTGAATGCAAGGGAAGTAAATATCAAGTCTTTAATGGTTTAATGTCCATCTCCCCACTCCTTCAGAAAATCTAGTAGTTTTTGTTTCAGAAAACTAGCAAAAGGTTTTTATAATGCTAGAGCAAGAGGCACAAAGTTGAACCACAAAGAATCATGCAACCGAGAGCCAATGAGGGAAGCAACTTAAATATCTTGGTATCTCTCCTCAACAGTGGACAAAAGTCCACTTAAATTGTGGACGGGTAGTTCACCCAAGTTGCTCCAGTAAATATTAAATGGGTAGAGCCCTAATCCTTAGAGCAATAAAGGGTGACATAATACGTAAGAAACATTATGCACACAGGGTAAAAGACCAGCTCATAGGCCACCTTATTCTCCTCATGAAAAAACAAAGTAGCAAGAGCAATTGTTAACCACCCTAAAAAAGTCGAAAATATTAAGAAGAAGCCCAACATTCAAGATAAATTAAGATCACATTTGTAGTTGTTGTACAGTCGCAAGAGAACCACGCTTTGTAGACTATAAGAATAAGTTGCTCGACTGCACAAATCAACTCGATCCTAGGTTGAGGAACTGTGTACATGTTCAGTTTTTAAAATTTTGTCATGCAATTCCATTCACACGAGAAATATAAATGTTGATATCCCTTTTTCTTTTTTCTTTTTCCTCTTGTCTATTTGCTACAAAAGTCGTGCTTCTTCTAATGAAATGAGCTAGCTAAAAGAGGGAGGAAAAGACCCAAAGGCTAGCTCTTCATTTACTTTTTCTCTTTATTATATGTGGAAAATGATTTGACTTGATTTAAATAACATTTGGTTAAGTTATTTTGCCACGGTTAACTGAAAAATTGATAATTTCCGTCTAGCAAGGATTAACTAAGATCAAAACTGAAGATTTGGGAGACCTAAAAGCAACAAAAGGTTAATCAACAATTTGAGAAAAGTTGAGAGACCGTCATTGCAAATTTCTTTTAAGTACGATTCCAATCATCCCTCACCAAAAACCCAAAAAGGGACATCAAGAGAAAAGCTTTTCTTTATTAATAAAATAGTTTCCAACTTCAATGACATTACAATTATTCTATACATTATATATTTAGCAAGAGAATTTAGAACAAGAGAATGAACAGAAATAGAATGCTGAATATAGCCACAGTAACCTGTGCGAGCAAAGTTAATTCTCCGATAATACTGTTAAAGCACTAGGAGGATATTTGTCAATTTTAAGGTTGTCCAATGTGCTTATAAACTCACAAGAAAGGCCTTCGTTTGAGTGGTGAGGCATTTAGAAATAATCAGTACAAAATTACACATTGTAACGAATGTTGCACATGCTATGGATGAGAAATGGAGACATACCATTGAGTAGGCTGAATATGCAAAGTCAGATGCTCCAAAGTTGACGCCATCAAAAACAAAGGCAAGGGCATTTATAGGCTGAGTTGCTGCAACAAACTGATATCACAAGAATCAGTTAGTTCACATTTTATCTTCTTTTTTTTGGAAACAGCTAAATGGATTTCTAATGGTGAGTTCAAGTTGTCAGGGCAGAGTACCGGGATTCCAACGCCAATAAGGTGGAGGACGTCAATATCTTTGGTAAATAATCTTGCTCTTGCTCCAACATGTAATCCGATTCCGAGGATAAGAGCTAGAACCAATCCTAGAACCACCCCCAACTGCAGTGTTTGACAAAGTTGAATATGAGAGAGAATTGACTATTTTGAGATTAATGTAAGTGTTACTTTGAAAAGAAGTGCTACTCACTTAAAAAAAAAAAAATAAGGTATCTTAATATTCAAAAATGGTTTCTGTTAAGCGAAACATGTTACTGAAAATGATACTGGGATGCGTAAAGTACCTGTAGCACTCGTGATGCAGTGGCAACTGCCCCATTGTAGTCCTTTTTTGCAAATGCACTGGCAAGAATTGCCTGAAAGAATTCAGAGAGAATTATTCTTCAACGTCCCTTTAAATATAGAGAGTTTAGTGATAGTGATGAATCTTGAATCCAAACGACCACATTGAATTATATCATTTGAAAACTTTGATGAAGCCACTTTTTCACGGGGTGAGGTGTTTAAATTAAGCCCTTGTTTGGTGTAATTAAAACTTAATTTATTTTTTTCATAGATTTTAATAAAAAGTTGATGAAATGTATTATTAAAATTCATTATTAACTTTACTTTAAATTTTTATCAAGATTTTAATCCTCATGGAGGCCAATGTAACAGGGGGTAATCACACTTCTGATCCCATGACTGCTTTGTGAAGAAGGGTTTAGAGCAGTTTGTAAAACACTAAAACTGGCACCTCGACCTAGAGAAATGCCATTGCCAAATAGCTTATTGACACAAGGATTATGTAAAATCATCATGTAATCATTTCTCCCAGCTCCTACAATTTCATTTCTTATCTTTTACTTCCATCATTGTTTATTGCTAATAGTCTTTTCCGTTGCTGTGATTATTATGTTTTTCCTTCATCACATTGCACTTTTTATTTATTTTAGTTTCTACTTTTTTCTTATTGAAAATGTAAACAATCTTGTTAAGAGAGCAATAATTAATAAACTATCTTGGTTTTCTAGTGACAATGTGAGAACAAAACAGAAAGTTTAAGTAACTTCATCTATGCTACTGCTACATGACATAAATTATGCAAGAATGTTAACCAATCAGCTTCAGACTTCAGTTAACATAGTGTTCTATGTGGGTTACACACGAACCATTTCAAGCCCAACACAGTAAGCATTTGACTGAGAGGCGAGACTCGAGAGCAATATGAAAAAATAGGAAAGGTAATACTGATGCAATCACCTGCCAAAGAGAGCAGCCGACTTCGTGAAACCAATCGAGAAATTCGAAGGATTTGGGGGTTTTGGAGTGAAGCTTCAACAAAAATCGATTTGGGGATTTTTTTGATTTCAGGGATTGGGGGGTTTTAATTCAATTGGGAAAAGATAAAACCCTACATGAAAGCTCAATAATCGCCTGGACGCTGCCCCACTGCCGCTTGTCCGATTGGAGACTTGGAGTTGGAGTTGGAGGTCGGCCGTCGACGTCGTAGGTAGGCGGAGCAATGGCAACAGGAGGGAAAGGGAATGATAAAGAAAAAAAAGAGACTGGGCGAAAATGAGGCCCCCATCCGGTTTGGGCCTGAGGCGCAGGCCTCATGGGCCTCGCCACAGGACCAGCCCTAAGTTTATGGTATACCATTAATTCAAATATTGAATCAAAATTATTTTCAACAACTAAACTGATTCTCCTATAAACCAACTTGTTCGAGCATGGTATGATACCATCAATTCCTAAGTTCTCTATGAAACACAAACCTCATTTTAACAAATAACCTTACTACGTTCAAAAAAAATATAAATAAATAAATAAATAAAAATAAAAAAATTTAACCTATTCCCTATTTAGTTTAGATAAAAAGCTGTTGAAGTAAAGATGAACAATTAAATTTTATTAAAATCTACTAAAAATTTAATTATTATCTAAACTAAATCAGGCATAATAATTAAATACTTCGAAAGACCATCACTTGAAATGGACTTGCAATACACCTGATCCAGAATTCACTCTCTAGTAATAATTTGTACGTGTCTCCACGCTCTTACCATGCGATTTGGGTATTTTAAGTGGCCCTTTAGGGGAGTAAAAAGCCAAACATCATTTTTCAAAGCGGTCCATTAAATGTCACACCTAATCTTACGCGGTACTGTCTGAGCGAGTGAAACTCACGCTTTTGAGTAGATTCTGTTGGAATTTCAACGTGTATCATGATCCTTTAAGACCACCATGAGTATATTCCACTCGAGAAAAATATAGAGAGAGATAGAGGGAGAAACAAAGTTAAGAGAAATTATAATTTCACCCCTCCAAAGTTTTTAATGTGTTCAGTTTCATCCTTGTATATTCCTTTTTTTTTGGCCAACTCGCAACATACTGCTGTTTGGGCTCCATTAAATTTTAGTACAGTTTGCTTTCTTTCTTTTTTCTGAATCACACATTTTTTAATAAATTAATATTACATGCAAACTCAACTTTTCTTTCTTTTTAACCACATACTTTTAAAAAAATCATTATTTCGAAATACATTTTTCCTAAGACTTCATTAAAATGGAGCCCTAACAAAGGCTAGCATTTATTATCTCAACTGGTTATCAAGTATAAATGTACAATTTCATAATTTTATCAATTTTTTATGTGTGATAATGTTTTAAAAGTCTATTTACATCTACTTAAAAGATAGAGAGAGTGTGTCAAGGGTCGCACTAATTGTTAAAAAAATTAGAGGGTAAACTGAATGCTTTATTTAGTTGAATCGAGAACAACTCAACTCAGTAATTATTTCAATAGTTTCTAACTTTTTTTACCTTGTAACCAAATCAAATTTCGACTTGGGTCTTAATTCGAACTAATCAATCCACATGTTTCTTTCTTAATTAACAAGTGCAGTATTATTGAAATAAGTATTTAAAATATCCTTATTTTTGATAGTGTGTTTACTTTTATTCTCTAATACTGATATCAACATACAATTACTTCAACAAATGTAGCTCCATTCACAATTTAAAGCATTCATTTCTAATGGTAGATTAAAAGGCCAAAGTCAAGAACAAACTATTCAGGTGAAGATTTTTCTTTTTCTTTTTTTCTAATTTTTTCCATCGACTTGAACCCAGGGGCAGACCCAGACCTTTAGTACTGTGGGGTCAAAATTTTAAATATAATTTTTTTAATAAACAACATAATATCAATGAAAATAAGTTTATATGTATTTTGACACTTTGAAAACGTCGTATAATTACATCATTATTAATATTATTAAATAAATTTTGCTACATGTATAGTTTTATTTATCATTTCATTGGCAAATATTGAGCTAACATTGAGCAAATTAAATTGAATATAGAAATTAAATCAATTGAAATAAAATTCAAGTTTAGTTCATAAAGTAAATGAAATTCAAATTTAAAACAAATATAATTCGAAAGTAATTCAAATTGTATTTAATCCGTAACGACTCTAAAAAATTTACGTCATATTTCATGTGAGACTTCCGAATGAAAAGATATAAATTATATTGAAAAATTTATCGTGCAAAAATAATAATTAATTGAAATTTTTAAAAGAAAAAACGAGTTAGACGTCTTTTTTGAGGCGTAGGTTTGATACATATTTAACTATTTTTGATATCCGTCTGGACCATTTGATATGGAAACGATGTAGTTTTCGAAACAAATTTTTACATTGCATAGACGATTTGTGGATTCAGATAGCACATGATCGCAAACGAATTTTTAAAGTTACGATGTTATCGAAATTCTCAAAATGTTAGTTTCAAACGTCCTACTTTAACATGTCATAACTTTTACTATAGTTAACCACTTCGCATGCCATTAATGAGTGAAAAATTAGGCAATGAGCACTTCGAAATAGTATTAAGAATGTAATATTTTGATTTCATTTGACATCCCAACGAGTGTATCAAAGTAGATCGCAAAAAAAAAAAAATAAAATAAAAACAAATAGGGGCAAAATTTTGTGGGGTCATTTGATCCCACATGACCCCATGTGGGTCCGCCCCTGCTTGAACCTTTACTTATTTGAGTTGATGCTCAATCCAATTTTATAAAAGTAGTTGCCTGTAAATAAAAAAACTATGTGGGTACAATTGAATGAAACACAAAACCATGGGGCCCCAAAAAATAAAACGTCCATTTTGTGATTGAGATGTATAGATAGGCAAGTTCTTGATCTTATCTGCAATGTGCTCATCAATGCCAGCCCGCTTTCAAGAATCACCCTTCGAATATTCAAATCCTTTCTCTCTCACACATTAACACGCTCACCCAAAAAATTTTTAATCAAAGATTCATTTGTACGTGACGGCCCGACTTCGACCACCCCTCTTTTTCTCCTTTAACAGAAATAAATAAAAATAGAAATAAGTATATTTCCATTCTCTCTCCTCTCATTTTCTCTCACTAGTAATCAATATATACATACACATATATATACACAGATACAGGATAGTTTTTTGTGAACCAAGTTTATTCCATTTGGTGATTCTACTTAGATCCCTTTATTCTCATTTTTCATTCGGATCTCTCTATGTTCTTGTCCTTTTTGATAGAGGAGTATAAGATATAGAAAAAATGATGATCAATAGCCATAATCACGGTGATTATTCAGAAAAAATGCAGGGATGTCAAGATTATATCCATGCTTTACAAGAAGAACATAAAAAGATTCAAGTTTTTCGACGTGAACTTCCCCTTTGTCTTGAGCTTGTTACTCAAGGTACGTATAAAGTCTCGTCTCACTAGATCAAATTTTTGGCTCCGTCCGGTTTAAAGATGTGATTTTGTTATTTGCAGCAATTGAGGCATGCAAGCAACAATTATCTGATGGTCAATCTGAGTGTTCTGAGCAAATATCCAGTGAAGGGCCAATCTTGGAGGAATTTATTCCTGTAAAGAGAGTTTCATCCAATTCTGATAACGATGAAGAACAATCCAAGAAGCCTAGTGATAAAAATAGCAAGAATAATAATGAGAAATTTTCCAAAAAATCAGATTGGCTTAGATCTGTCGGGCTTTGGAATCAAACCCCAGATCCAAACCCAAAAGAGGTAATATTATTTACGATATTTTATGGATTTTGTAATTTTGATAAAGATATGATTTTTCTAATCTTATCTATATTTTGGGGTGTAGGATTTACCCAAAAAGGATAGTTCTGGTGCATTTCATCCATTCAAGAAAGAAGGGAAAAGTGTTGGTACTGGAAGTACTACTGCACAAGAGGTAATGAATAGGTCAGTAGCGGTAGCGGAGGCGGCTGCGGAGAAACGTGGTGGCGGTGGCGGTGGTGGTGGAAATAAGAAAGAACGACAAGGTGAAAGAAAGTCAAGGAGAACATGGTCAGCTGAGCTGCATAAAAGATTTTTGCAAGCCCTTGAACAACTGGGTGGTTCGCATGGTATTACTTGAAATTAAATTTGATTTTATTAGGGATATCTTTTATTTTTTATTTATTTTTTCGAGCATGTTTAATTTGATTGGTCTTTTCAGTTGCTACACCAAAACAAATTAGGGAGTTCATGAAGGTTGATGGACTCACCAATGATGAAGTTAAAAGTCATTTACAGGTTTGTAGTTTGTACTGTTCTTGAATATTGAATTTTCTCTTTCAATTTTATTTATTTAGTTTTTTTAAGTATATTTGGTTTTTGCTTTGGTAGTGCATATTTATTCATGCCTTAGAATTTGACAAAATCGACCTACAAAAACCCTTCTCTTAACTCAAATAAATTCATATCGTCTTACAACAAGTTTGACTCAACTTACAAAAAGATTCTACACATCTTTTTTCGACAATAAATATAGATTTATGGTTACAAAGGTAAGATTTTGTACTAAAAATTAAAAAAAAAAAAAAAAAAAAAACTTTGAAAATCGAGCAAAATTACTTTTGAATTACTTTCTTAGCCAAATTTTCACTCCATTTCTTTCATTGTTTCTTTAATCACCTGAATTTTCATGTTATATATTGCAGAAACATTGGGCAAAATTACTTTTAAATAACTTTCTTAGCCAAATTCTCGCTCAATTTCTTTCATGATTTTTTTAATCACTTGAATTTTTGTGTTATAAATTTTCAGAAATATCGATTGCATACAAGAAGATCACCGAATCACCCTATACACAATAACAATAATCAACAGCCATCCCAGTTTGTTGTAGTAGGAGGAATATGGGTTCCACCACCGGAATGTGCTACAATGGCTACAACCACCGCATTGGGGGAGGCATCTGGTGTTTCTGCCACGTCTAATAGAATCTACGCACCTATTGCTAAACTACCACCACCCTTCTCGAGAACATCAACGCCCCCAAAGCAAAAGCATCAACATAAACAAGTTCATTATAATGACTTAGGTGGCCATAGTGAAGAGGGAGATGTCCAATCTCATTCCCCCATTGCTTCATCCTCTATTGGCACTACCAATACCTCGTTGACTCACTGATTTTCCTGTAAAATGTGTAATTTTTGTAACGACTAATCTTATAGTCTTGATGTACTCTGGAGAGAGAGAGAGAGAGAGAAAGAGAGAGATTTTGGTCCCTTTTCTTTGTTAATTTTCAACAATATTTCAGTGTTTATTTTGATGTTGCATATTCCGCAACTTAAAAGTATGTAGGAAAGTGCTTATAAATAATTTAAATTATAAATAAATATATATGAACGATAAATAATGTGGATAATATTCGTCGATCCTTCAAAATAAGTAGATAAAAATCGAAGTGTTTATTAAAAGTTTATTAATATAAACCAAATATAGGCTTAATGAGCTTGGAGGCTGCGTACGCTACGCACACAATCCAATCAGCAATTGTGACAATCCAATCAGCAATTGTGACAAGACAGCTAGCCCAAAAGGTTAAGAGTATTTCCAAGATACTTTCCATTTTTAAGAGCATATTTTACAATTTAGAGAGCATTTATAAATTTGGAGAGTGAAAATTTTTAAATATTCAACCAGTATTTTTATATTCAACACTGAACTTTACTACTCTTAAAATATATTTATTATTTTTTCTATCTTTTATTTTCACTAGGCTATTATTACACCTCCACTCTACCAATCAACTATCTAAAGCATTCCAACAAACTTAGCCCCTGTTTGATTCCCATTTTTTTCAAAATTCATTTTCAACTCATATTCTTCTATAAAATAATTATACACGTATTTCAAAAATATTTCCTTACTTTCAAACAGTACATTCTCCAAAAATCACTATTTCATAATGCATTTTATCCCAAAAATGGGAATCAAATAGGGGGTTAGTTCCTGTTTAAACTTCATTATATAAAACTCATTTTTAACTATAAATTCTTTGAATAAAATAATTTTGCACGTAAATTAAAAATTTTCTATAGTTTCTAAAAACATATTCTGAAAAAAAAATCACTTTTTATAAAATCCATTTCTTCTAAAAATGAGCCCAAACAACAAGAAAGTATCAATGAGGATCACATCTAATTGAAATCAATGGGGCAATGTTAGTTTCCATCTTGCACTATATAAAGAGAATAGAGATGCAAGGTCATAAGTAGGGTTGTAGATGGATCGGATATGGACTGGATCTGTCCATACCCGATTTGATTTGATTTGATTCGATTCGATAAGAATAATTTATGAATTCGATAATTTAACGGATATTTGATTGTTAAATTTATATCCGATTTGCTATGTTAACGGATATTCGGTCCAATAATTCGATCCAAAATATTTTACCCATTATTTTTTTTTATTAGAAAGAGAGGATTCTAACTCTCGATACAGAATTATAATAATAAATATATTGATTTTATATTGAAATTTGATAGGTTTGACATTTTTCATTAAAAGTCAAAAAGTCTAATACAAGTTTTAAAATGAAAAAAAAGTTATGTGTAATAAATTATATAGTAATACATAAAGTATATTATATTATTATAATAAATTGGATCTTGTTGTTATCGGATTATATTGACATATATTTATATTTGCTTCATTTAGTTAACGGATTATCGAATTCGAATTCGGATCTTGATCAAATTATCATACTAAGACCCTAAACTCATCTCCCACTAATTTCAGCGAATTCAAATTAAATTTGAATAAAAATACAATATCTTACTCTGCATATACTCGTTAGCCCAACAATAACTCCTACCTCTCTAACTTTAGCATTAGAGTCTTCAACTGCTGCTTCACCGTTGCTTTCCTTTTAAGGTTGAGTTAACAAGACATTTAATAAAAATTAATCAAAAAATGTCCCATTTCTTTTCTCATTGACAGTAATTATTGTCACGCCAAAAAGAAACAAATTTAAGCAGACATTTAATAACTTCTTAATGGGTTCAATTTCTGCAATGAACCTGATAATTCTTAATTATTTCACACGAGTGTTTGGAATGGCAAACTGCCAATTTTCCTAAAAGTTAATAGTTTAAGAGGTTCATTTTCAAGATATCTATAAGAAACTTATTTGATTAATATATTTGATTCTTTTACTATTTAAATTAATATATCATTCAATTTGACCAAACAAATTAATGAATTTAATGGATATCCATTCATAGAACAACTGCCAAATTAAATTAGGTATAATGTTTGGTAAGGATATATTAATTTATGGTCAATGCTAAGCTAATTTTTTTCCACGGCTTGTGGGATATCTACCATTCCTTCACAAGAAGTTATTTGTTAATTACTATATATGTGGAGAAAGCAAAGTATGTATAATATATAACAAAAAATGGAACTAATGAACCTTTTTTTCTTTTAGTGTCTAGATTCAAAATTCACATGCATTTCAAAGACATCTTGGCATTGGAGAACTTTTCTTTGGTAACATAGAAATAATTACAACGAAAATAAATTTATACTGATTTTCTTAAAAAAAATAAAAAAAATTCGGTTCAAGACATGCCGTCCTTTGAATTAATTTAGATTTTTTTTTTTTTTTTGGAAAAATCAAAAGCAAAATCACTCGTTATTGAGTAATGTAATTTAGCACTACTTGTCCCTAATATTAATTTATAAGCAATGAGTTTTATTTAAATGTATTTTAATTTATTAGACAGTGACTAAATTGTAATCAAGACATGATGGATACCCCTCCACGGACAGCCTATCCACGCTTGACGCCAAGAAACGTAAAAAAGACAAAATATGTTCCATTGTCTTCATGGAGGAAATTCTTAGATTAATTCGAGGGAAAATAGTTGGGCCCCAACCAAGAATATTCTTGATATCATAAGCATATGCATCATAGTATTATTAGTATAATTTTTAATTAATTTTGGGCAATGTGGGAGAAGGCGCGATTTCATTGGTCAAGTATATTCCCTATTTGTTTATATTAATTTGAACGAAAATATTATACACGACTTATCTGATTAAGAATTGGGTTATATGAACTATTCAATAAAATATTTATAATGATTTTAATACGTTAAATTGAATATGATTGAACGTAATAATTAATAAAATAGGTTGTATGTCTCTCTCTTTTTAGTTTCATTTATCTAGTCTAGGTCTAATGACCAAACATCCCCGAGGGTGTTTCTTGGAAGTGTATTTTGGAATTAGTTTTGAGAGAGTTTCGTAAGTATTCTTTTTGTTTTTTATTTTTTGTTTTTTTAAAGGTGTGTCTACAAGTCAAGAAGAGAAAGGAGAAAATATGTTAGTCCATTTTTAAGTAACCTTTGTTTTAAAAATAACTATATTATATTATTTTTAGGGTAAACTTTACGAGAGATCCTGGCAGGCGCCCCTCCAATAGCTGTTTTTAACCCTATCCCCAACCCGGGACAAGGAGATTTATTCAAACTTTAGACACATATCTTGAGATTTATGACAATTTCAAACATTTTCTCTAATTTTAAAAATTTCAGAAATCACAAATATTAATATAAATTGTCCGAGTTAATTATTCAAATAGTCATTGAACTTTACCAAAAGTTCCCAAGAAATCACCGAACTTCAAAATTTTCCTAAATAGTCACCGAACTTTGCCAAAAGTCCCCAAATTTCAAAATTTTCCTAAATAGTTACTGAACTTTACAAAAAGTTCCTAGGGGGTCACTCAACTTTGCAAATTGGGATCCCATATATCATTGGGTTAGTGATCCCTTAGGACCCATATATCATTGGTTTAGTGACTCCTTAGGAACTTTTTGCAAAATTTAGTGATTATTTAGAAAAGTTTTGAAATTTAGTTATTTTCTAGGAACTTTTGACAAAGTTCAGTGACTAGTTAGAGAAGTTTTGAAGTACAGTGACCTCCTGCGAACTTTTGACAAAATTCAATGACTATTTGGAGAATTAACTCTAAATTGTCCATTTTACTCTTTTCTCTTAAGTTAAATATAAAATTATATTTATTTTCTTTTTAGTTTTTTAACAAATACAATTTAAATAGAAAAAATATAAGATAAAATATTTTTAAAAAGTCGAATATGGGCAATACAAGCAGGTCGAGGTAAGAAATTTTGCCCTCTCTATAGGAATTTTTGTTTTGTTTTGTTTTGTTTTTTAATTCCTAACCCATCTGTGTTCCAGCCTATGCCAATTCCGCCCCACTGTCCAACAGTCATCGGTGGACGGTGAGGGTCATCTTAACCCACCCATTCCATTGGCATCCCCATTTTGGACTCCATATTTCTAAAAATGCATTTTTGAAAAATTCATTTTTAATCATACATTCTTCAAAAAATTATTATTCTAAAACATATTTTCTCTCAAAATCTCATTTGAACGGATAACAAGCAGATGCTAAGGGCCTGTTCGGTAATAATTATAAGAATTGATTAGAAAAGTGTGTCCCACCTATAAATGAAGAAATAAAAAAATGATGGTTGAAATAGTGAAATAACAATAAAAAATTTTAATTTTTTGTTTTGAAAAATTGCTACCAAATGGGGGTTAAATATTATTCAATAACAGATTCAAATTCTATAATCAATACTTGAGATTAATAGGAAATAAAAATATACAGGGGAGCAATACAGATGGTTATATTTACACCACTTTTTATTAATTTTTTTTTTTAAATACACCACATTTTAATTAGATCAAAGGCCATTATCCCTCATTCAGTATCATACTTATATCTTTAACTTTTCTCTTCACCATGTTCTTATTATTAATATTTTATTGATTTGAAAATCTTGTTCTTAATTATATTTTTGTCCGAAAATATTGTTAACCTGCTTTTTTAAAATAAAGGTGAAATATTTAATTTTTGTAATATTATTTGTTTTGGTTATTTAAAAATACAATGGGCAAACGAATCTTTTTCACTTTATTTTATAGAAACTTTTGGGGGAAACTATAATCGGGAACAAGTTATATTAATTTGAGAATAATAATGCGATGAAAAAATATTTGAAACGTAAATGTTATAGCATGAAAGGTTATGAACCTTTGAAGCAATTAAAATGTAATCTAGTAATTAAAAATTGTGATGCGAATATAATTAGCCATATGGTATTGAAAACAAACATTTGGGGAGGTTTTCAAAATTTACCCTTCTTTTTAATAAGACATATTCCAATCTTTTATTTTCAGAAACTTTAAATAAGGAAAATCCAAATTCTTTACTTTCTAAAATTTAGATTGCAATGTTACAAGATCGATTAAAAG